TATATATATATATATACATGATCTATTGTGCTTGTGCATATAAAAAATTAAGAAGTAGAAATCCTTTTACAAAATCAATAAAAAAAATGTACACAAAAAGATCAGATTCCATCATTTAATTAAAAATGACATAAAATGAAGTTTTTGTTTTGCAAAATGTTTGTATTTAAATTTGAAAAATGCATCTCTACACATAATGAGAATGCTGATATATTATTTTGTTACGGCTTTTCCAATGGAAATTCGCGGGCTACTCGCAGAGAATATCGGAAACGATTTCCTAATAGAACGGTTCCAGATGCAAGGATGTTTTCTAACACATTTACCAAATTACGTGAATCCGGTTTTCTTCCAAGTAGTCATGATCATTCTGAACAAGCAGATAACCGAAATGCCAATGAAAAAAAAATCTACATTACGCAAACAAGACTTGTATCCTTTCCACATTTAAAACATACAAAATTTGCAACCAAGAGCTCATGCCAGAAGGTTGGAATTCTGTGAATAGATCAATGCTAATCGTCAACTAATTCCAATAATGCTTTTTTAGTAACGAAGCTGATACGTAATTAGCACTCTAATACATAATTTGCATGCATCATCATCTTTAGATGAGTTTTTAACGGAAACGGCTGCTCCTAGAGACTTCAATTCTATTCCAAAATGACATACACCGTGGCACAAAAAAGTTGAAGCAAATTAAAAGCATCCTAATGGTCGCTTGTGGCGCCCTCTGGGAGATGCAGCAAATCGTCCATAAAATTTGAATTTCCCATCCTAAAAAACCTCCGCATATAAAATTTCATGATTTTAACTCAAAGTAGTCGAGAGTTATTAAAGAAAATGTAATTATTTTTTTAAATTTGATATCCTGTAGATCCTAAATGAAGCGTCTCCAGACCTAAGTTCATAGGAAATTTTTTGCTTAAAATTGAACCTAGAATAACATACTGAAGTATGTACATCTCTTCCTGAAACCCCTGTATCCGGAAAGGTCATGTCAAAAATGAAGGGGTATACAGGGGAGGTCAAAATAGTTCTACTACTTCATAAAAAATATTTTCCTATCGAGCTTCGTTGTGGAGTTATTCGCCTTCAAAGAAAGAAGTTTGAAAAACAAATTCCAATTATAACTTCTAAGTCGTTACCATGACAATAATGAAATTTGGGCAATTAAAATAACTCATGGTAATGTTCATTTCCAAATTTAATTTGATATTTAATATGCCCCATTTGAATTTATACATCTTTGACAAGGTTGCCAAACTTGTCATTTTTCTTTCATATTTCGATTCCTCTCTCACTTTGCTAAAAGAAAGGTATACCGTATATCAGTCGAACAAGTACTCTAGAAGTAAAAATTTATTTTATTATTATGAATTTATATTATGTAAAATTACTACCAGAAAGTTCATTTTAAAGTGTCTGACCTTGTACCTGAATAAAATATGAGGTGGGCTAGCAAGATACAAAATACCTCCGATCCTTTGATCCTCACCCCCACTCCTGTTCTCACATGACTATCTTATATATCAGATCTTATCCATGGCCCGATGTTATCCACACTTTGATTATTCAACTTAGGGCAACTGCTTCCTGGGATATCTGATATTTCATATCTGTCACTTCCCACTACTCTCGTAATTCAGAAAGAATTTTGTCAGATTTGTTACAATTTATAAGTGACTCCTATAGCTGGCACACTCAATTTAAATCAATACAAGATTCCCAGTAAAGTATGGTCCCAGTCCGTTTTTGATCCGCTTGTTAAAGACTTGCCCTTTCATCCGTGAGTCGGTTTCTGTGGCATCTACAACATTAATTCTATTCAGTTCTAGTTGCCTCTGTGAAATGACTACGGCCCATTAATGCTTCACGTGCTAACACGCCAATGGTCTAATTTATAGTGTTCCATTCAAATCTAACTGAATATTTTAAATATTTTCATTCCATTTTTTATAACTTTTGTTTGTTTCTATAGTGGCTGGAGACTAAATAATTGTTTTATTGTACCGTTCAACTGGATTATTCCCATGAGGCATAGCATTGAGGTAATGTTTGATCCCAGATTTTACATAGAAAATTTTTTATTTTTCACAAGTGAAAGATGTTGCTCTATCTACTAGCAACTGTGAACACTTTTATCAAAACATTTACTGTTTAATAACTCTAATAACACAAAACAACCTAAGATCATCTTGAATTACACTTCTGATATTAAGTTGTTGACAAGTAAGGCTATTAATATAAAACACATTTAATTGAGACGAGCACTTGACATTCTTCCAATAAATTACAATACATAAGTCTGTCCATTGCCTACTAGATCTCTATCAGTCAACGCCCTGAACTGCTTTATCAGCAAAGTACATAGAGATATTAAGCAGACAAAAGTTTTTTTCTTCTTAAAAATTATTTCCACCACTTCTTTACTGTTTTGATAATTAAGTAATGCGTGGTGGATTGATCAGCTCAGGCTGAGGACATAAGGTGTACCCCTTTGAAGGGGGTCCTAGTTGGAGTGATCCTTTGTAGGTAAGACAAACCATTAATAATAATATTTATTGTTTATCAATCAATCGATAAATACTTCCTTTTAAACATGTTACAGCTGACCAACTTAATGACGATAATGAACAGTTTTCAATTTTACAAAATGGAATATTTTATCAGACTGTAATTTTAAAAGTGACAAACTACACTGCAGTGAATATATTCGTATTATCCATGATAGGCCCTAGAAAAAAATGTCAAATTTGACATTTATAAAATACTTTAATTGTTTATGTGGACATAATTTAACATTATTTTTTTTATCATATTGTGGCCGAGTTCGGTTTTTACATTTTTATGCTCTTAGATGCTCTACACCATTCGTTTATTACAAAGTTGAGAGTGGGGAGTAATTTATCGGCGTTCGGATATTCTCCGACGAAGTAAACGGAGGACATCTTTTAGCTCGGTAAATTTTGATCGAGGTTTCGGAGAAATTGTGTGTTGTGGCGGGAAATACAGACTGTTGGCACGTTTTTTTTTACAAACCACATACACTTCCAATTAGTCTTATTCTCTAATCTGTGCAGTTAGCCCTCTGTGCTTCCAGAATGAATGCCACAATAACACAAATACTTCATTTCGGATATGAAATATTTTTTGATGATGATGATGATGATGATGATGATGATGATGATGATGATGATGATGATGATGATGATGATGATGAGCGTGAATGTGAACCAGATAAAGTAGAAAATTTTGCTGAGGTTACGGTAATTAATTTTGCCGATCATCAATTTAAACAACATTTTCGAATGAATGCAAGCACATTCGAAGATTTTCTAAGAAAACTGTATATGGTTGTACCTTGTAATGCAACAATAGGACATCCCAAACTCCTATTGGAAAAACAGGCGATGATTTGCGTTTGGTATTTAGCAAATTTAGAGAGTTTTTGGTAAGTTAATTTTTTCTATGTATTAAAAACATATCAATCAATACATTTTTAGATCTATTGCTAGCAGATATGGAATTAGCAAATCTACCGCATGGGATGTACTGGCAAGGATGGGTAAACTCATTCTTGAGGTTAATAGAATTTTCAAAATTATAACTTGGCCAACTCGCCCCAGAGCTTTAAAAATAATTACTGCATTTGAAAATATAAACAGATTTCCTGGTAGGTTTTAATTTGTATTCAATAAGGAATGATGAAGTTTAATAAAATATTGCAGGTGTGCTAGGATGTATAGACGGTAGTCACATTAAAATACTACCTCCAAAAGAAAATCCAAATTCCTATGTAAATAGAAAAAAATTTCATTCAGTACTACTACAAGGCGTTTGCGATAATGAAAAACTTTTCCTCGAAGTATTTACTGGATTACCAGGGTCCTGTCACGATGCTAGACTGTTTCATATGTCAGATCTTTATGAAAGAATTAATAATAATTCCATAGAATTTGTAAATAATAGCCATATTATTGGAGATTTAGCCTACACTTTAACAACAAATCTTATAGTAGGCTTTAAAGACTATGGAAATTTAACAAATCAACAAAGACGTTTTAACATGAAACTTTCTCAATTGAGAGTAAGAATTGAACAAGCTTTTGCATTTCTAAAAGGACGATTTAGAAGACTCAAATATATGGAAACTGTTAAATTCGATTTAATTTGTTTATTTATAATTGATCCTACATAATCTTACTATATTAAATGGTGACTTACCAGAAGAAATAATGAATATACAAGAAGAAATTAATGAAGGAAGGCAAAATGGAATTTTTGAAGTTGTGGAAATTAACATGGAAATGAACAGGAGAGAAGCAATTGAAAAAAGAATTTTTATAATGAATAATTTACTTCCATGAATAGGTATTAAAGAAATAAATGTTTTTATTGTAACTGTTTTATTTATTTGTATAAAAAATAAATATATTTAATATATTAACCTATATATTATTTCTAAGTAAAAGTAACAAAAATAAACTGCGAATTGCAAGGTGTTTCGTTTTGAGTGACACAAATATTAACCGCATATAACATTTAAAAAACTAGCAAATTTTAATTTATAAGTATCGACTTTCTCTTGTATACCAGCTGTCTTTCCGTGGATTATTTGTGAAACAAGCGGTTTATATTTTGAATGAATCAAAACGAAACGTGTTGCATAATATCAAAATAACGTTAGTTTTAAACACTCTTAATTCTCTTCCTTCTGCAACGTATTCACAAGCTTCTCAAATATGTCAAGGTATCTATCCTGTCTCGCCATCTTTTCTTTATGCCTTCTTTCCACTGCATTTTCTACAGTTTTTCTTTTTTTACAAAGACGACTCTGAAATTGTGAAGACATTGAGGTTCCAGAGGAAACGGAGCCACTAGAGTCTTCATCTTTCTCTATAAGTAATGAAACATAAACAAATGCAAAAATATTTTAAATTATAAAATGTGTACCTTTTTGTTCATTATATTTTAACCCAGTTGAACTGCTACATGTCGCAACTGGATTAATTTCTGGTTTCTGATTAAGAATATTGTCCATTAATTCAAAATATAACCAATCCTTTTTATTGTTGCCAGATGTGTTATTGTGTTTTTTAACATTTTTATATGTTTCAACCAGTCCCTTCCACTTCGTGTCACATTGTTGTGCAGTTACTGCAATGTACATTTCCTTACCAAGTCTGTCAGAAATTTTTTTCCACACTAACTTTTTAACACATTTCTGGAATTCCTGATCAAATTCTTCAACCAATGCGATTAAGAAACTGGTATTACTGTACGTCCATATTTTCAATGTATCTGAAAAAGATCATTTTCTGGTGAAGATTCTGAGCTCATTTAACTGTAAATTATATATTAATTAATTATTGGAAAATAATAATTTTTTACTAAAATAACGTTTGTATTAGTTTATACTGACCACTTTTATTTGGAGTGACATTACTACCTTCACTATTTTCTTGGGGATTTACCTCACTCTCCATTGCAACAATTTCATATAAGTTAGCTAAAATAACACAACAATTTATTATAAAATAATTTTTCTAAAAATCATATGTATCGTATTTTATTGTCTCCTTTACTTACTTTTGGGATTTAAATGCAAAAGTGTACCGTCTTCTAATTGTACTAATTCCATTGTCTTCGCACAGCATAAGATAATCGCAAAAATGTTAATATATCAGTCATAAACATATGAGTAACTAAATTTGTAAATTTGTTTAGTCTAATGGTCATAAATAAAAGGAAGACTTTATAGGTTAGGAAAGTATCTGCAATCACAAAACGTTCGGATATTAACGAGGAATACGAGACCTTTTGTGTCACGTGACAAAAAATCTGCGAAACTTTCCTCTGTTCCGTTAGGTAGAAACCGAACGTGGCCTGTATATCACAAAATTTCTACATAATTATCATAACAATGTAATTGTAAAGTTGTTGATTACCTTTTGGAGCGTGGACCTGTGCTACAACTTCTATTAAATTTTGAAGGGGTTGTGAATCAGAGGATGGGTATTGCGGGTGGACTATAGGAATGTCTTTGGTTCTGTAAATATATTAATTAGGGACATGATGTTAGATGAGTTGTAATGTGTTTATACTTTGTAAATAGCATTTGCATATCCTCCTCAATTTCTTTTCTTGAACGTACTCCTAGACTAAAATCATCCTCTATTGGTTCCTAAAAGAAAATTTGTTCGTAATAAATATTTTATTTACTTTTATTTTATTTTTACTCCTATTTTATATTTCTTTATTCTAAGTAGACTCAAAATAATGCAGTAGTGCTAATATAAAAGTAACAATGTTGTTTATGTAAGTTTCTTCATCATCAGTTATACTTGAAAACAGCTCATAAAGTAGTTGCAGTGGTTTAGTTGTTGGGTGTTTGAGGGTGTTTCAATTATTTCCCAGAAAGTTAAAACAGAGTAGAGTTTAGGTTTGATTTTCAAGGAAAGTTGAGTGGCAAAAACCGCATCTCGATATGTTTGTACATCTCATATTGCATTTTCGTATTTTTCATGAAAATTGATATATATATATTTTTCAAATTGGCATATTTATTTTATTTTAAAGATAAATAAATAAACTTTTATTTTAAATTTAATATAATATAAAAATAGCTTTGTATGGGGGCAAGTCGGGTGATCGTGCAGGCCAAGGTATTGGTCCATAGTATCCAATCCATTTGTCCCGGAAGTTGAACGTCAAGCCAGTTTCTCACTAGAAGTGTGGAATGTGTAGGGCATTCATTTTGTTGAAATATTAGTTTTCCCCTGAACTCAAAATTTTCGATATCTAGTTTTGCCAAGACAAAATTATTGAGAATTTCCAAAACGAATTTTGATCAAGATTTTCTTCCAAAAAGTAAGCACCAATTATTTTATGATACGTTATGCCACAGTTGCTGTCACATGACTAACCTTAGTCATTAGTAGCTGTATTCATTATGTACACATTGGCAACACTGCTGTGCTGTGTGCGATGTCAGCTGTCTTTTTATAATGTGTAACCTAGAAAATATAAAATAAATTCAGTTTTCCTTACACTGCTCGAACCATCAACATGTCTTTCATTTCGACTACCTAAAATTTGTTAATCTAAGACATAAATTAACAGTTGCCACGCAAGACTATTAGTTATTATCAATTGAAAATTTGGATTATCTTTAGCCCAGTATCTACAATTTTGAAAGGAAACCAAGCCATTAGATGCGAATATTGATGCGTCAGTAAATAAAATATTGTGATGAAAGAATCTGTTTTGAATCAGTTTCTCACCCATTGTTAAACAAAAGTCCAAACGAAGACCATTAAGCAATTTATGATTAAACACTGGTTTGAATGGATAGATTTTGCTGTACACTAAATCTGCTGATATGTATGTTTTTTGACCTTTTCCTGAGTGACATCTTTGGAATGTATTGTACAGTCATTGTATTCTTTTTAATATTCTTTACATCACCAGTGGTATTAAATTTTATAATTAGCTTGCGAACTGCTCTATGAGTTACAGTTCTGGAATTTGGAATTCGGAATTTTAGGGAGGGTAGCTTAAAAAGATAGAGCATTTAGGCCCCATTGGGCCCAAGGCCAAGGTCTGCCCTTGTTCAGGTATGTGGAGACATTGGCCGGACGAAGAGACATAGCGTTAGTTTGGGTTCCGGGCCATATGGGTATTTCTGGTAACCAGAGTGCTGATCAACTGGCTCGTTTTGGATCTAGGGACCTGAACCAATCCTTGGAATCACACGAGGTAGTGTTAATGGGGCCCTTAATAAATGGTCCTATCAAACTTTAGGTCAAAACTGGAGGAGGAACAGAAGATGTAGGCAGGCCTATAGTTTCATATGGGCCCTACCAAACCTAAGACGGCTGCTGAGCCTCAGTCGAAGAGCCTTAAACTAAATGGTGGGGGTTCTGACAGGCCATTGCAGACTTAGGAAGTTTAATAGGAATTGAAGATGCTTTATGCCCGAAATGTGGAGTAAGGGAGGACACCCCTGTCCACCTTCTGTTACACTGTGCAGCCTTTGGGAGGTTAACACATAAAGTCTTTGGTGCTGAAGAGCTGCAAGAGGTTGAGGTGAGGGACCTTCCATGGACCAAAATCCTGGCATTCATCAGGGCATCCAGTAGGTTCGAGGAGGGTCAGAGGCAGAGAGTGGACAGATAATGGGATGGTGGGGCAGGCAAAAAGGACCCACCTCTGGCCTACTTGACAGGCTAAGGCCGGCCCCTTCATTACTACTACTACTACTACTACTAGGCCCCATTGGACCCCTAGTACTTCCCCCCATTAGGAGATCAATCCACTTGAGCCGCTAACCAACCTAATACAGCGAAAAATGTGGTGACGTTCAGAGGAATCTCTCTAATATAGGCCATAGAAGGCCAAGAAGGCCAACATTCTCCCAACACGGATTCTCTTGTTGACGGGATGGCAATGCATCGCATAGCACATGTAGTATTGTCTCGTCTTCCTGTTCACAACCCCTGCAAAGAGGTGTTTCACACTTCCTCATGTTGTGAAGGTGCTTCCTTAGCCAACAGTAACCAGTTTGAATTCCCGTCACTAGGCGAAGACTTAGACATGGCCAGGTATTTTTTGGCTGTATCCTTACTAGGGTATTCTAAGATCTCCTTAGTAAATTGACAGCTATTTGTATCATCCCACCGTTTCATAAACTCTTTGTGGGTGTTTTCCTTAATAATTTCAAGTGCTGACAGCGGAAGCACACTGGAGGAACCAGGTCTAAAAATATTGAGACCCGATGGCTAGCTTGTCAGCTTCTTTGTTGCCATTGCACCGCTCGTGTCCCTTGACCCAGCATACAGATATACTGTTGGAAAATGAGGCTACGAGCCTGGTGGCATTCCCATACTGACCTAGTCATTAACTTAAGATTACGCAAGATAAGTAATGCTTGTCTACTATCTGTGTAGATTCTGATAGTTTTACCATACGGTTTTACCTACGGTCGATTTCTTTAGCGCCTATGGTTATATTTGCTAATTCCGTTTGTACCACGGTAGCATGCCTATCCATTGCTCAGTGATATCGGGTATGCAAGGATCTAGAATAAATTCCACACCTTCCTTCCTTTTTGATCCGTCTGTGAAGACGTTGATTATATCTTCGCGGGCGGTCTCCTCCTGTCTTCTGATGAGTATGGTGTAGGGTCTGTCGAATGCAAACCGAGGAGAAATGAGTTACAGTTATATTTGGATACTATTAATTAAAAAGTTGTATTGCATATCGATAACGATTCGATAACATTTCACAAGATAAATTTGTTGCTCCATTATTATTAAAAATTATTCGGTGGGCAGTTATAAGGAAATATCCATGGTAATTATATGATATGTAAGATAGTTAAAAATCGCGTCTCCTTATTTGCAAAATGTGATTATTCTTCTTTTTTTGGTTAAACCCCGTATTTCAGCATTTCTTGAGTTCTCGGACAACTTTGTTAAATACATTTAATGAAAACAGAAATTACAGGCACTTTGCTTAAGGAAAATTTCACGTTCAAATTTTTTGGACACCCTGTATGTTTTATTACATATTTGATTACTGCCCACGGTTTCCCAAAATAAGCAAAATTTTTTATCAAGAGTAACTTTTTCTCAAAAAATCAACAATAAAAAAGTTTACAAGAGTGGGACATGCTGTATATACATTCATCAATTAACAATGAAATAGTTTCATATTAAAATATAATTGATTCATAATTTAAAAAAAAAAGTATATGGAACACTGATGCTCCGTACTACCAAATATGAAAGTTTAGCATGGGGTATATGTATGTCCCTTATTACCAAATTAGACTCTGCAGTGAACATGTTCATGTATTTTGGTCACCCTATAGATAATTGAGCAATATATACAACAATAAATAATTTCATGTTAGAATGTCTGCTCTTGTTTATGTATTTTATTAAATTAACTACAATGTTTTATATTATGTTTATACATTATTTTTTTTGTAAGAGAAATGAGCTTAAGCCTATGGGAAATATAATAAAATAACTAAAATGTAAAAAATGTGTTTTAAACACGGTTAAACATAAATATTTGAAAATTAAGTAAAAGTCATATAAATATCCTGGATTTAAACATGCAATAAAAATAGTAGTGTCTCATTTAAAACAATAAAATTAATAACTTCCCACATAATCGGAAGCACTATACTGGTGACATTATTTTCATTATTGGAACACCCATGAATAGAGATTTTCACAACTATGTCTTATATCTTTAAACATTTAATAGGTTACTCACTGTTAAAGAAACATGATTAAAATAATATGCATGCTTTTAAAAGCTGGTAATATAATAATAATAATAACTTTAGGACTTTAATAAACGAAATAATCAAGGACATTTAAATAAAGGGGACTAGGCATGTCACAGTCTATCTCATATGTTGGGTGAAGCTAGGCAACGGGAAAGCAGAGGGCTTTATTTTCATCCAACTGATGCGCGCAATTACATCTCCAATGTCACGTTTTGAAAGGGTCAAAATAAAATATTTAATTATAAATTCTTGGAATCCCAATAACTGTTAGCATTTCTTTCTTATTGCACCATCCCCAGGCATCCTAAAAACATTCACATTTCACTTTTAGAATACTGATGCAAACTTTTAGTAAGACATAAAAATATATTCCCAAAGGAGAACATCAATATGGTTGAATGAATGCAACTTTCAGTTGATTACATCTTCAGTATTTTTATATATAAGTGAACCCACCACCATATTTTTGCTGTTGTATTTATTCAGTTTTTATGCTCGTGCATTTAGTAAAATTGTAAATATATTTTTGAAAAGGTTTTTGTCGTAGAGGAAATTGAAAATGATGAATGATTAAAACTTGTAATATTGGGTATAAGGGATTGAAATACCTATAAATCTATTAAATATAAGTAATGTCTGTAACTTATTTGTGGTGCAGCATTTTCCTTTGATTCGGGCGGTTTATTGATTTTAATGGCCAAACATGGTTCATATTATTGTTTTCTTACTATCTCAGCAAAAATAAAAAAAAAAAAACCAAAAGTCAGTTTTATAGAATTTTACCGTTATTCAAATAAAAGTTACCTACAAGCACGACAATGGCCAGAGTTGCATATACATTCCAAAGTCACCTTCAAGCACACTTACCTGTGGAAGGATAGATGTGGATGTTTATAATCCAATTTCTTACAAATTCTGCACTGTCTAACCATATTCACACCTTAAAAGTTTATCCAAAATACATATATAAACACTAATCACGTTTCACTTACTAAAATCACAACTATTTTCTAACAAGAGACGCCATATTCTGCCAACCACGGCAGAACGAACGTGGAACACGCTACAAATTATTGCGTTGTTGCCAAGTCTTCAAACATGGCAAATATGAAAAATGAAAAATAATTTAATATGTACAGAATTTAACAATATTGTATGTATAACTTAATAATACTATCCTATAATAATAATTTTCACAATTGTGATGAAAATTGCGATAAAAATATTAAGTACATTTCCAGTACAATTATATAGCTGACAATAATGATACAATTAGACTGTGAATAGACGAGGCATCATCCAGAAATGTAAATAAATAAGTCCTCTTTATTTAAATGTCCTTGGAAATAATAAATAAAATAATAAATTGTCTTTTATATTCTAAGTGAGTAAAAATATATTTACACTATAATACTTACTGTTTGTTTAGGCATCTCTTCTCTGATAGAAATTTCATCTGCTCGAGCTGTTGGCTGTTGCAAAATATCCTCAACATTGGACAGTTGCAGAAACATCTGATCTGTTCTGTCTTGCAATATTTCAGGCGTTTCTGTTATTACTTTACGGGCTCGTTTTGTTTTAATCTTTGCTATTGGTGTTGGAGGTGTTTCAAATATACCTAAAATAAATAGATCCTGAGAGTTACAAGCGTTAAATTTTGTGGTCAACCATTAACCTTATTTTCACCTATCCGTTAGCATAGCTTATAAAACCAATAGTCATAATATTTGAATAGTTTGGATTGATAAAATTTGTACAAAACAAAAATGAACACAAATCATGAACATTCAGTACAGATTTTGCAAATATTTTAGATAGCAACTGTTTATTTAATGTCGTACTATACTCGGCGGCCGAAATTATAAAGAGTGACTAATACATAATATAAAAACACTATTACCATAATGCGTATAAAATATAAAATGATTTCTATATGGTTCAATATTATTTATCTTTGTGCCGCTCGCCATGCACATCGGTAGAATCTATAATTGTGTATAGACTGAGTTACACTGAACGTCGATCTATATTTTATCTCTGTCTTTTGCACTTGGTAGGGAATAGGGAAATGCTTTTTTAGTGGGTGTAAACGGACTTGATTTACCCGACCTGAGAAATGTCATAGCATAAGCGTAGGCGAGGGGTCTAATTCCATGGCTATAATAAATTTATAAATTAAAAAAACACAACTGGGACGTTTTAAAATGCTGTAATAATTAAAATTGATCAAAGTGCCGGTTATAACAAACCGTAAAAAATATTAGATGTTATGTTTTATTATGTTTTTTCAATATTTTCTATATCTTGTTGTCTTTTACGCAGACACGCCAATGGATTTTTGTTTCCGGCACACTTCATCCCCCTTACTAGTCCAAGAGTTAGCGATGAATCACTATCTATAATTTTGGCCGTCGAGTATAGTATGTTAGTTTACAATAATCACTCTATTTTGAGTGATGCTTATAAATGTCTAATGGCTGTTTTCTTTTATTCATGATTTCAGAATCATAACGCGTTACGATCCAAATTCTAGCAACTTGATTGGTTTCCATCGAATCGTAACATGTTACGATTACGAAATCATGAATAAACGAAAAGGGCTATTATGTAAATATAGATTAAATGTCTAACAAACTTCATATGTCATACATTATTATTTACTACAATGTCACATTTACTGTTATCAACGGTGATTTTTATTGTAGAATAATAAATATTTTATGAACAATAACTACAGTTTCATCAAAATATGAAATTAAACTTATCAGGAATAGTGAATTTTGGTACTTTTTTAATACTTATTATTTATTATTATTTGAAATACCTACCCGTTTCTGTAAGATCAGCAGCGGCATATCTAAAAAAAAAAAATGTAAGTATTTACAAATTATTGGCCCTTAGTTGAAAACGTGATTATGAGAAGAAATTTTATACAAACTGGGTCTGATGTGTTTAGAAAAAAAAAGAAAGTAGATTTAGACCCCTTATGCACAGGCGAGTTTTTCACCACCGCACCACATTGGATATTTACCTTTGATTGAACATATTGATATAAATTGAAATGTGTGCACGATGTGATTTTTCATCACATGATAAAGTTCACATTGTGAGTGAACTGCCATTTAAAACAGCGGGTTCTATTGATGAAAGTACAAATCTGTTGTGATACAGCAGTGAAAAACCCACCTGTGTGTATAAAATCTTAATGTCTTTTTCTATGTTTACAGATGCATCCACATTTCTCATGATTTTATTATACCTACGATAAGATATAAGAAAACAAAAATAATAAATATATTCCTAACAGAAACTCACTGCTCATGTTTTTTTTAAATCAGCAACCAATACATTCATTACAATGCTGATCTCCAAAACATCATATTTTTTATTATTAAATTTAAAATATTTACGTTGCTGATCCAATAAAATGAAGTAAGTTTCATAATGGGAATGGGTTTTAAATCACTTTCATTCATCCACTCATATTAAATATTAATACTGAACTCTATCTGAACTTGTCAACTGCTTCATTAGTCGTCGACTATGCACAATATACCGCTACTCGAATGAACTTTCAAAACAGGCGTTTCAGATGATTATAAGTATGTGAAGTGCTACCAACACAGCAAATATAGTTTTTATTTCGCTTTTTATTTATACAACACAAATTTTTTATGAAAAGTATCTAAATGTAACTGTAACTCGTAGAGCAAAGCGTAGTACAATGATAACGATGCTAGTACGCTTGTAGTTATGGATTCTGTACAAGACAATCCAAAGATGTCACTCAGGAAAAGGTCAGCAAACATAGATACTAGATCTCATATTTAAAGAATTTTAGTATACACCAAAATCTATCCATTCAAACCAGTGTTTAATCATAAATTGCTTGATGAAGATGATGGTCATCGTTTGGACCATGGGAGAGAAATTGTTTGAAACAGACTCTTTCATTACAATATTGGTGGTTTCCTCTCAAAATTGTACATACTGGACAAAAGTTAATCCAAATTTTCGATTGATAACTAATAGTCAAAAATTAAGAAAAGGAAATATCTGGTGTATGGCAAAATATATCATAAAATAATTGGTCCTTACTTTTTGGAAGAAAATGTTAATCAAAATTCGTCTTTGGAAATTCTCAATAATTTTGTTTTGGCAGAACTAGATAGTAAAATTTTGAGTTCAGAAAAAACTAATATTTCAATAAAATGAATATGAAGTAAGATAGTTAAAACTCGCTTTTTTTTATTTGCAAAATGTGATTATTCTTCTATTTTTGACTAAATCCCATATTTAAGCATTTCTTGAGTTCTCGAACAACTTTGTTAAATACAGTTTTTAACAAAAACAAAAATTAAAGGCACTTTGCTTAGGGAAAACACATTTTGAAATTTTTTGGGTTTGGCAAAATTTTTAATCAAGAAAAACTTTTTCTCAAAAAATTGACAATAAAAAAAGTTTACAAGAGTGTGGTACCCCATCCGGGGACACGCTGTATATATGTAAGCTATTATTTTTAATTTTTAAAACAATTTTAGGAAAAATTCTTTTGTTTTATCAGTTGATGAAGTGTAGGGTGTATCTGAGGGCATGTAGTAATACTAACACTAACAAATATTTTAAAATCAAATAAAAATAAACCTTACCCAATTCCAGTAGGTATATGAACAGTGGATATCAAAGAAATTATTTCTCCTGAAATAAAAAATAAACTAAGTATGGTAAAAACTATATTATGAAAATTATTTGTTATCTGAATACTATTTGCATTGAAGATAATTTTAGAAAATAATATACACAACATTAATAAGCCACCCAATGTTGAACACAATACAACTTACTGTAATGAAAATATAATAATTTTACTGCTGGCGTCATGTAAATTTATATATTGAAACTTTGTATTTACTTACAGTAAGCCTTATGATTTAAATTATAATGCACTCATATAAATGAAAGGTTTTTTAATTGTTTTAGTGAAAACATGTATACATTAATATGTTATAATTATCATAACAGATACTGTATTCTAACACAAAGTGTTACTAAGGCTGTGTTCAGCGAATGGTCGGACTAGTTCAGTCAAACTTTAAGCCTTTAAGTAACTGTATTAAAACCTGCCCAATATTCCCAATCAGCTGATTAGGCTGACCAACGAAATATTTGTCCGCTGAATGACTTTGACCGGTCCGATCATTCGCTGAACACAGCCTAAATATATGTATATTAGCACAACAAAATTACAGTTTGTCTTAAATACTGCAAATGTGTAGACAGTAACAATATGTATAAGACATCTATAGAAGCAGACATTTGTATTTCACATGAAAATAGTATCCATTATTTCAATTACGATTTTTTCAGTTTTTATACATTATACAAAAATATGTACTTATTTAATAATTACATTTAATTACTCACCCTGTAAAATTGTTGCTTGTTCCCTAAAAATTTTTAACATACCATTGACTAATGTTACAGACAGTCTCAAAGAAAATCGCTTTTTAGGGCTGGTAGAATAACTTATAATAAATAATTTTAACTCATCACTAAAAATAATTTAAAATTAATACATACTGCTCATATAAACACTACCACAGATAATATTTTCTTTATTTGAGAACAAACAAATTTATATAATTATTAATATTGAAAATATGTTGCTATAAATTCATGTTATATTGTTATAGGTAACTATTGAGTTTTGTCAATATTTTATAAAAAATCTACTTTATTGATTCAATGGATTTTAGACAACATATAAAATTTAAAAAACTTATTAAAATGTTACTAAAATGCTATGCAGGGTAATTCTAAAATATGCAGCTAAATGATACAGTGCAAGTAGAAATGAAAAAGGGTTGTTTGAACCTAATTTATTGTGCGGCTGTGGCTTGGCAACTTGGCATTTGTGTCATTGATATGAAAAGTCAAGCAAAGCTGATGATTAGTATTTAGTACTAGGCGAGGTCTGTATAGACATACCATCCCTCGGAAAGGATGTAAAACCGTTGGTCCCTTGTCCAAACAATGTTAGGCTAGTAAAAGATCCCTACCCTACAACAAAATAGGGGTTCTCCAAAATTTCTAAGTTGGGGGTTGCTCATGTAGTGGTTCCCTATACCCTGGCACTGGGAACGCCACTGTGAGAGGTTCAGTGGGGATAGGATAGGACTTCTCTCCCCTCGCGCGGCGGGGAGAGAACAGCAGTCGAATGATGGAATGGCACTCGAGTGGTTTGGTATTTGGCGCTCTGTTACGTACTCGTATTTTATACTTATACTGTGCAAACTGTTAATATATATTATTATAACCCGGTTGTGACTGTGTTATTGCAACCCTTTCTATCCAATACTCTACACTCATCTCCTGGAATCAGTGTATAGCCATAGTAGCAGATAGGCTAAAAGGAAAAAGCAAGCAAACTTAATTTATTTATGTATAAAAATCAACATTGACTGAAATGTGACCTCTCAATGTAATACCACAAATATTTTTCCATATGACTTTAAAACAGTTTAAGATAAAGGCTTTTTTATCACTATGTAGAATTTTTGTTTTACTAGAAACAGTACAAGGGATAACAAAAATCTTAAATGAAAAATTTTTAATTACAAGCATATTCATAAAAAAATCTGTTAAGTGGGTGGTTAATGTAGTGGAGGCCCAAAAACACCCTGTATGTATTTTTTAGATATTCTAATAATATATTACACTCATATAAATAAAGATCGATGCATATCGACTACAAAGCCTTTACCACAAACTATTTTCAAATTATATGAAAAAATATTGGTGGTACCATGTTGAAAAAACTATATTTTAATAGGTTTATAGGACTATATTTTAATAGGAACATACATGGTATATCTAGGGCGGTATATCTATCTAGGGTATTGCTAGGGCAAACATCAATGACACATAAATAAAGAAAAAAGTTTCTATAAACATATGCCCAAAAGTACTTTATTTAAAGTGATTAAAATGAATGAAAAAACAGCTGGGAGAAATCATTTAAATAATAATTGTATCCATAGATAACATGATTACTTGAATATTATATTTATTTATTAATTTGATGTTTTGGCAATTTTAGCAATAAAATTTTATTAATTGTTAGGAAAAATACATTCTAACAATAAGAGAGCGATGACTGCTGAAAATTATGCTGGAAATATTTTTACAAAGATGCATGGAATATTTGCAATTTTTTTTTACATCCAGAGGATATTATGTTTTGATATGCACATTCTTTTCTGTGATTTTATTATAAAGGTGGGCCAGACTTAACACTTTTGGGGCAGGAGGGGGTTATCCTCCTATTGTTACAGGATCGATTTTCAAGAAAAGTTCAATGGCAAAAGTCACATTTCGATATTTTGATTCATTTAAGAGATTACGGATGCTTCCAATTTTGACCATTTTCTATCTATATACAAGGTGTCCCAGTACTTGATACAAAAAATTTGAGTACAAATATATGAGGTCAAAATAATATCAGTTCTCCATATAATTTTTTTTCATACGGGCCTTCGTTAACAAGTTACGGGTCATTAAAAAGTAATTTTTATTTACAGTCTCTAAACTATTAACTTAGCATGATGCAAATTTGGTGATCGATAACACATGCATACAACTTGTTTCTGATATTGTAAGTGAAACATTATTATGCCCAGAATGCCAGGGATGGACTATGTCCAATGGTTAACAACTCAGAAATTTTGCATAGATGATAATTGCAATCTGCTTGTATAAGTTCCTTAAATTAACAGTTTAGGAAATATTTGTGATTTTATTTTTAATTTTTAATTGAACCTAATTACTATGTTAGAACTGTACATATTTTTAAAATAAGAGCCTAGAAAGTCTTACTGTCTGCTAATGTAATTTTCACCAACAAAGTTTGACAAACACACTTTCCACATAACACAAAATAGAAAAACAAAGAATAAGTTAAAGTAGGTTAAAAAATAATTTAAAAGAAAGAAAACTATCAAAATACATTTTCGATATCTTCTACTTTTTAAGTCTACAAATGTTATTTGTTTGTACACGAAAAAGCATTTCAAAATGGAAATTAATTCTTTGTAGCAATTCAACCCTTGTCTGTACTGGGGTTGCTTACACTAAATTAACTTTTCAGGTATCCCCACAGGTAGAAGTCCATCGAGTTAAAGTCTGGAGAAAGGGGTGGTCACAAAATTGGGCCTCCTCTCCCAAACTATTTATTAAACACAATAGATAAATAATTTCCTACATCAATATTGAAATGGGGAGGAGCCCCATTGTGCATGCACCAAACGTTTCTTCGGATATCTTATGGAACATTGTCTAATAGTGGCTGCAAATTATTTAGCAAAAACTCCAAATATTGATGAATTTGGCTTCACAAGAAATGGCACTCTTAATTCCCATAACTTACATTTATGGGATGAAGAGAATACGCACGGTACTGTGCTAATAAAAGAGCAGCACCGATACATAATTGAAGTATGGGCAAGAATAGTGGGTATTATTTTAATAGGTCTATACGTTTTTGAGAAACATGGCATCAATATTTGGAGATGAACTTACTTTAACTTATTCTTGTTTTGTTTTTCTATTTTATGTTATGTGTATAGTGTTTGTCAAATTTTGTTAGTGAAAAATATATTAACAGACAGTAAGATTTTCTAGGCTCCTGTTTAAAAAATATGTATGGTTCTAACAGTAATATGTCCAATTAAAAATAAAAAAGAAAAAATTATGGAGGCGCCGCTCGATGAGCACTGTGACATAAAATGACAAATATTTCCTACTGTTAATTTTACCGAGTTGAACCAAGAGGGTATTATCATTGGCAAATTCTTCAAGGAACTAATTTTTGATACAGGCAGATCGCAATCGTCATCTATGCAATAATTCTAACCATTAGGCATAGTCCGTCCCTGGCGTTTTGGGCATAATGAAGTTTCACTTACATCAAAAACAAGTTGTATGCATGTGTTATCGATCACCAAATTTGCATTATGCTGAAGTTAACAGTTTACAGACTGTAAATAAAAATAACTTTTTAATTTTCACCTTTGAGGGCCCGTAATTTGTTAACGAAGGCCTGTATGAAAAAAATTTATATGAAGAACTGATATTACTTTGACATCTATTTGTACTCGACTTTTTTGTATCAAGTACCCAGATACCCTGTATATATTTTGTTTATTAAATTTTTTGATATTTGAATCCAATTAAAATGTCCTTCAATGAAAAAAACCAAAAATTATTTTTTGTAACTGTTTCTTGTGTTTCCCCTAATGTATCGATAAACCAAAAATGGATGATAAATTGAATTGTAAGGGGTGTCCGAGTGCAAGTTTACCAATTTAAAATTGTTGCCATTTCTCTTACAGTACCTACCTTTTGTAACAAAATAGAGCAATGCATATTTAAGCAAGGAACACATATTGTAAAAGCATATTATAAATTGCATGTAATTTTGGGTTGTTTGGTACCTGCTAAGCAAGCAATTCAATATTTAGTGGTGAAATTCGCAGAAAGCGGAACTGTATGGTGCTATGAGTTCTGTGAATGAAGGTTAGAGAACATATCAGTTCGGTGATTTTTAGTAGAACTGATATCCAGTGATAAAGCTTATTCCCAATTAAATGGCTACACAAATAAACAAAACTGCCCTATCTGGAGAGCTAAAAATCCACCTATCATCCAAGAACTATCCATAAATCCACCAAGTTACCATGTGGTCCGATATAATGGGCATACAAAGTTATCGGATTTCATAGTAAACGAATCAATGATGTGGATATAGGCGATATGTAGTTTCAGCAAGATGGTGCCACATGCCAGACACCTAACAAAACGTTGATTCTTTGTTCTTTAGATATCCTGGGCACATAATCTCTCGGCGAGCTAGATTGACCACCACAATTTTGTGATTTGAGTCTATTAGACTTTTTCTTTTGGAAGGAAAATTCTATGCAAATATGATTCAATAGCTGAAAAATGGCAATAGAGAACTTATTATGGAAAAACACCACAGTTGCCAGAGAAACCAAGGTGACCACTTAAATGATACTGTGTTCAATGGTTAATGATATAGTTTGAATAAATAGTTGCAATCAAAATTATTATTGAAATATTTGTCAAATTTTTACAAATTTGTTGGGACACCATTTATCACAAAACAATTGATTTACATGAAAGGAGAGTTTGTGCAGATTTTAACAATCACAGTTAAATAAAGAGGTTATTTTTGATTAAAGGAAACAAGTAAATTTTAATAAAGAAGAATTGGGAGAACATTGTTTAAAAAAAATAATTTAAGGTAAAGGGAATAGGTAAGTAAATATAATTATAGTTGGAAAATGTACGAAAAAAATAATCGAAAACTGTATTTTTTTAACTTAAGATGATAGATTTCCAATTTTATAACAATGTAGATACACATGTCATGGGTCTGTTTTACACAGTGTATGGATGTGACAAATTGTGACATCTGTATTTCTATCAAACATCCATTTTATGTTCAAATGGATAATGTATAGAATATCCAGAGCAACTAGCCGTAGGATGAATGTGCACTCTGTTTGGGAAATTAGATTCAGTTTCTTTTCATTTCAAGTTTTACTATACTCCGCGGTCGAAATTATAGAGAGTGACTCAGACATAATATAAAAACACTATTACCATAATGCGTATAAAATATAAAATGATTTTTATATGGTTCAATATTATTTATCTTTGTGCCGCTCGCTACGCACATCGATAGAATCTATAATCGTCTATAGACTGAGTTACACTGAACGTCGACCTATATTTTATCTCTGTCTTTTGCATTTGGTAGGGAATAGGGAAATGCTTTTTTAGTGGGTGTAAACGGACTTGATTTACCAGTCCTGAGAAACGTCATAGCATAAGCGTAAACGAGGGGTCTAATTCCATGGCTATAATAAATTTATAAATTAAAAAAACACAACTGGGACGTTTTAAAACCGTAAAAAAATATTAGATGTTATGTTTTATTATCTTTTTTCAATATTTTCTATATCTTGTTGCCTTTTACGCAGACACGCCAATGGATTTTCGTTCCTGGCATGCTTCATCCCCCTTACCAGTCCAAAAGCTAGCGATGAGTCACTCTCTATAATTTTGACCGCGGAGTATATATCATTTTAACTGCATATCATTTTAATTACTTGTTTTTAAATCACCAAATTAGTTATTACAATATATTTTCTGCTAATTTGGTTAAAAAATGTTTATTGTTAAATATTTAAGAGGCATATTTTTCTTGAAAAGCAGTTCTGTTTTAAAACATCATATTTACCCATTCAATTTAAGACGTCACATATAAACCTGGTTGATTTCATACAAGGTTCTTCACGGTAAGTGGCCTATTAAACGTTTCAGAGGAACCAAAGACAATATGACTGAAATTTTGTTTACGGGTGTTATTAGATATGTTCTCTTCAATGAAAATAATGCCATCAATGTAGCACTTCCGGTTATATCGGAAGTAGCTGTCAAATTCGTTATTTTAAATGGAACACCTTATATATTATTGCATTATCGACAAGATAAATTAAAAATAGATCAAAAATGTTAAAGCTTCCTTGTACCCAAATCTAACCATTTTCGAGATAACCGACATTTTCATAAAAATTTTGACAGATGCAAGCGTTTCGAAAATTCCTTATATCTTTCTTCGTTCTGGGAGCTTTTACTTGCTTTTCAGAATACACAAAGAACATAAAATGTACTACCTTCCGCTATCAAAATTACCTGAAGAAAAAAGTGTCCCATTTTTCACGTTACATTTTGAAACCTTAAAACCAATAAAACTTTGTAAATTCAAATGGAACACACTGTATTTCATTTTATAGAAAATCAAATTCTCTTTTCATCGATATGGGCATTGTAGTGGTTACAATTTCAATTTTCTCAGATATTTGCGGTTTACTTAGTTTCAAGAATATTACGTTAAAATATCATCAAATGTGCCTTGAAAATATGTGCAAATATTGGTATTGTCTTTCAGTATTCTACAAGTATCAAGTATTTTCTCAACAAGAAAAATGCAGAATAATTATTCTAATTAAGATATTTTGAATTTATTTTATATCCATGCGACATTCACCATGAATCAGTACCAGCTTCATTTCTATATCTTGGTATTTTGCAACATTTGAAGAATTGGATGCGAATGAAACTCGCGCCCAGCTACCCACAATACAGTTCTTTGTAGAACATTGAAATATTTTTTATTTTTTATTTTTGTTCATGATTACATTAATAAAATGCGTTGTTTCACGTTTGTTGCATCATTTAAATAATGAGGGGGTATATTTACAAAAAAATAATAAGATTTCCTTCCAATGAAATACTATTATTAGTAACTGCAAGTACAATAAAGAGCACATAAGCATTCTTTCATAGTATGCTATTCTCAACTTCATTCCAAATATCATAAAATTATAATAATGTATTTATTAGTTATTTGAAATTTCTTATCTTCGCTATTCTTTAAAAACTTTTACAACATTAAAAATTAGAAAAATTTTAAGAAAATCAACTGAAATTATTTCAGTATTGTTCTGTTTCAGTTGCAAAATACCAAAGCATAGAAAGATCCGCGGTGTTCCATGGATATAAAATAAATTCAAAATATCTTCATTAGAATAATTATTTTGCATTTTTCTTGTCGAGCAATACTTAATACTTGTATAATACTGAATGACAGTACCAGCCTTTCGAGACACATTTGATGATATTTTTAAAGTAATCTTCTTGAGAATGTAAGTAAACCGCAAATATCTAAGAAAACTGAAACTGTAACTCCTACAATGTCTATATCGGTGAAAAGAGAATTTGATTTTTTATAATATGATGCAGAAAAATACAGGGTGTTCCATTTGAATTTAAAAAGTTCTGTCAGTTTTAAGTTCTCAAAATGTAACATGATAAATGGAACAGTTTGTATAATTTTCTTCAGGTAATTTTGATAGCGGAAGGCAGTGCATCTTGTTCTTTGTGTACTCTGAAAAGTGAGAGCTCCCGGAACAAAGAAAGATATAAGGAATTTTCGAAATGCTTGAATCTGTCAAAATTTTTATAAAAAGTCGATTATGTCGAAAACGGTTAGATTTAGGAGCAGGGAAGCTTTAACATTTTTGACTTATTTTTAATTTATCTTGTCGATAATGCAATAATATATAGGATGTTCATTTAAAATAACGAAGTTGACAGCTACTTCTGGTATTACCGGAAGTGCTACGTTGATGGCATTATTTTCATTGAAGAGAACTTATCTGGTAACCCTCGTGAACAAAATTTCAAAGTCATATTGTCTTTGGATCCTCTGAAAGGTTTAATAGGTCACTTACCGTGAATAACCAAGTATTATATTGAGTTTACGAACAAGAGAAAACAGAACTATGATATTTTCTCATAATTTTTCAAATAAAAAGTTACTGTATATTTTAAAATCTACAAATATATTAAATATGGAAAATATGTAATTATTTCATTGCCTAATTAAATCATCTTGAAGTAATACTCGATCAAATTTAAGATTGCTTAAAATATATATTTTAGTTGAAGATCTTGTTGTGTTTGAGTTTTAGCAGGTAGTGCTATAAAAATTGTATGTGTCTCCATAAAAATATATTACTGCAAAGCATTAACCAACTACAAATTAGAAAAATACAAGCAATTTTACCATAGTTTAAGTAAGTTCAACTCCTTTATTTGTTTCTTCGTAACAAATCTTACACCTCTGGTTGCCACCACCCAAGCTATTCCAAAACGGCCCCCATGTTGAGAATTGAGTAATATAATATCAAAAAACATTTTTCCTTGAAAGAAAAACAATTATTTAATACTGTATGTCGTATATTCAACTAATTTATAATATATTTATCTTACTTTTTTCTGATAGCCAGGAAATACTTCTCAAATTTACTTTTCCTGTGAACCAATTTAAATTATAATTTGGAAATACACAATTATTTTAAAATCAAATATGAATTTCTAGGACGCTACGACTGAGAGGACAATAATGTAAATGCTATTGTCATCAGTCACCATTGTTAATAAAACAATCAAATTTCTAAACAAATGAATTGATAACTCTGGGGTAATAAGATTTACATGATGCATAAGATTTCCCGCGCTGTCATAGACTTTTGGCCAAAGAACTCAAAGAAGTAGATTTCCATCAAATTTAACCTCGAGTTGTCCAATGGCATTGCAGCATTTCTGAGGTGGAATACGTCATCGGTATTACATTAAATTCAAAACACAGAGGCCGTGGCGATAGCGGTGAGTTCGCTACGGCATGGAGACGTTGCGGTGGTGTCCTGTTACCACCCACCCAGACTACCACTACTTGACAATGACTTTGACAAAATCCTTTCCTAGCCCCAGACAATTGCCATCGGGGACTTCAACGCCGCCATTATTCCATGGCTAGAAATTGGCCTCAACACTTTGGGATCGAGGGGGATTATCCCTCTTTATCCTGCCTCATCTCGTGTAGGCCTGGACAGCCTTCGTAGGTGGGCCCCATCCGTCGTCTACCCCGACCGCAAATGCGGCCGGTGTAGGCGCTTTGTGGGACCTCCTTTTGTCCTGGCTGGGCCCCGCCGGCTAGGGCCCTTTCTTCTGGCGCTCTTCTTGCTTCGCCGGCTCGTCTGTGTAAACCCCGGGGGTAGTGTCATGTTTATGTGTGGTATGGTTGGGTAGGGTAGTGCGGCTATGCAGCCTGGGATGCGCTTTGCTAAGGTGGCCCTTAGGCTAGCGCGGGAGGG